CTCGTATACACAATGCAGGAACATGACGACAGCGCACCAGACTATCATGGCAGACCAGGAGCAGGAGAACAGCACGAGCCCCGCCACTCATCCGCCGGAGCGGTTGTGGTCACACACGACAAAGTACAACAACGTGGAGGCAACAGCAAGAGGCAACAAGAAGGAAGAAGGGGGGCAAGATAGACGAGACAAGGAAACGCCACACATCGCCAGAACAAGGTTTGTCAGACAGTCCAAAGCACAAACGAATGCAAGTACAATGCAACAAACAACCCACCAACACCACATGGACAGCCGGTCCGTTTCCACGATGAACATGGCGCCCCAGCTCAGGGTCGAATGGGCGTCTGCACGCGCTCGCATCCGCGACGGATGTAGAATCACGGGCAACCCCGGCAAAGCCAAAGGCAGAAGGCCGCGCGAAGACAGCGACGCCCGGCGGAACAGAATTGCGGACCCCAGAAGTGCACATGGCGCGCGCCTGTCCTGGGCACACTCCTAGGCCCGGCGAAGGCCGCCCCGACGCGCTCACACGGCCGCCACCGCAGGCGCCGCGCGTTACTACTCCTGGGCCCCATCGGGACCCACTCTCCTGGCCATTGGAACGGCCTGCTCCTGCGCGCGCCACTGCGCGCGCGCTAATGCCACCTCGGATGCGCCCAGCTGGGGCCGTTGGCCCGTCCCAGGCATTAAAATCTTTATCTGGGGCGCCAATATGCGGCCTCTCTCCCCCTGGATGATTGCCGCCCCCCCCGGCGCGCTATAGGCGGCCCGGGGACTGGCCCCCCCGTTGTGGGCCCCTGCTGCTGCTGTAGAGCCCCTGCGGCAGCCCTCCTTTGCAGCACCCCGCTGCCCCGCGCATTTGCAGCGCCTTTCCGCTCTCCCGGGGGAGCCTGGCAGGCGCGCGATGGCACCACCGGGTTACTTCCTCACCGCTGTCAGCCGCCCCCCCACCTCCACCGGCTGACCTACGCTACTTGCCTGGGTCGCCACCCTTTACCTTGGGCCTCAGGCTAACTCCACGGCGGCGGCCTGCCGCCCTTCTCCTGTTCGGCTGCCCTCGGTGCGCCGACCATGGGCGTTTCTTCGCACGCGACCGGCTCAGTGCTCGCCACTGCTAGCCGCGCCCCGACTCGCCTTGGCAGGTCTCGCGCGAAGCGGCCCCACCTGACTCCGATTGGCCCTCGGGCTCCGGTAGCCTGGTCCGCCCACCGCCCGCTCCACGCCGCTGCGGCTGTCTGCTGCGCTGGGGTGGAACGGGGAGTGGTACCTTACCCCCCCATGGTGGATCGGGCGCAATAATCTGACCCTGGCCACTTCACCTTTCCCGCGGCTGTTAGCCGCACCTCAGGTAATCCTAGACCCGATCGCCCCTCCGTCGCTGACTCCCTCGACCTCACAGGCCCGACCTCTTCCCGTCACTTCGCGGCTGTTTGCTGCACCCCACCAGACCATCCGCATGTCTCAGGCGAAGCCTTTCCCCCAGCATCCCGCGGCTGATAGCTGCGCCCCAGCCGAGCACCGGCGGGTCTCAGGCGCAACCATCCCCCACCATCCCGCGGCTGTTAGCCGCACCCCAGCAGAGCATCAATATGTCTCAGGCGAAACCATTACCCACCTGCCCGCGGCTGTTAGCCGCTCCCCAGCAGTGCTTCGGCGTGTCCCAGTCGAAACCATTGCCCAACTGCCCGCGGCATTTAGCCGCACCCCAGCTGTGCATCGTCAGGCCTCAGGCGGAACCTTTTCCCCACCATTCCGCGGCTGTCAGCCGCATCTCTCCTCGTGCCGCGGCAAGCCCAGGCGTCGCCCTGCCCCATCTTCTCGCAGCTGTTAGCTGCGCCCCACCTGCGCGTCGCCCCGCGGCTGTTAGCCGCGCCCCGTCCGACCACGCAGACGCGACGCGTTCCTACCATTCCGCGGCAGTCAGCCGCGCCCCAGCAGGGCAGCAGCATGTCTCAGGCGAAACCATTTCCCACTACCCCGCGGCTGTTAACTGCACCCCAGCCGAGCATCGGCAGGTCTCAGGCACAACCATACCCCAGCATCCCGCGGCTGTTAGCCGCACCCCAGCAGAGCATCAACATGTCTCAGGCGAAACCATTTCCCAATTGCCCGCGGCTGGTAGCCACACCCCAGCAGAGCATCGCCAGGTCTCGGGCGAAACCTTTCCCTACCATTCCGCGGCCGCTGGCCGCGCCCATTCTCATGCTGCGGCAAACCCAGGCGCCGCCCTTTCCCATCGCGGCGGTTAGCTCCACCCCACCAGAGCGTCGGTCAGCCTCAGGCGAAGCCGCCCCCTACCTTTCCGCGGCCGTTAGCCGCTCCCCCGTTGGGCCTCAGCACGTCTGAGACTATTTGTTTTACCTACCACCCGCGGCTGTCAGCCGCACCCCCGGGGCGCGTCGGCTGGTCTCAGGCGAGACCTCTTCCGTGCATCCCGCGGCTGTCCGCCGCGCCCAAACTGTGCTTCCTCCACCTTTCATCGGCTGTTAGCCGCCCCTCATCGAAGATAACTAAGTTCCTGCGGCTGTTAGCCGCCCCCCTTTGCCGGGTGCCCCCCACCCTCCGCGCCCCCCCCGGGCGCGCGGGCCGGCGGGTTCCCTGCGCGCCCGCGGTCTCGCGACGGCCCTGGAGGACGGCCGGTTGGTCAGCTCCCTGTGCTTCGGCGCGGATCGCGGCTCGCCCCTTCATGGGCTTCCCGGGCGCTGTCCCCCCTGGCGCGGGCCTTCATCTGGGTCCCCCGCCGACTGGTGCACGTTCGCGGCCTCGGCACTTGGGTCCGACAGGTTCATGGCCATCGGCGTCTGACGGCTGGCGTTGGTCTGGGGTGCACGATCGCCCACCCGCTGCATGCGCATTTGGAGAGCAACGTGTCCCTGGCGGTCACCTACCTGGTCCGTCGCCTCTGAGCTGCGCCGCGCGTGTGTTCTCTTTCTCCCTCCTTTCGCCGTCTTTCCGTCTTCTTCGCTTTCTTCTGTCATTTGGTTTCTTTTTTGCTCGTTTCGCTCTCTCCCGCTTCGCCCCGTTTTCGCCACTCTTGCGCAGCCTCTGCGTAGTGGCCCTGTACATGTTCCGTAGCCTTGCACTTGCGCCGTTTCGCACTTCGCATGACCTCACGACGCCGCGCGGGTGCCCGCTCGCGGTCGCGATCTAGAATTACTATCATTAGCCCGTTCAGAAACCGCGCCCATGAGCGCTGATTGGAAACGGTCGAAGAGACACATACAGTGAAACAAACCGGGCAACCAGGATGAACAGAGAAACCTTGGGGAGCAAGGGGGTGGCCTTGTAGGGTTTCTTCGGGCCACCCTTTGGGGCCCGCGGGGAGGAGGAGGAGGGGGGGCGAGGGGGGAAGGAGGAAAAGGAGGAAGGGGAGGAGGTCCCGCCTTTCCCTCCCTCGCCCTCCCTCCTCTCTTGCTGTCTCCCTGGCCACCCTCCGCTTTGTTGCCCCTCCCCCCTGTGGCCCTTGTCTGGCTCTTCTCTCCCTCCCCTGCTCCGCTGGGACACTCGCGTTCCTGGCTTCCTTCCCTCTCTCAATCCCTGGGTTTGCTCACCGCTCGGCCGCTCGGTTTTCGACTGGCCCGCCCTCCTGCCGCGCAGGGCGCCGCTGAGGCGCAACAAGGAAAACGATGCACAAAAAAGGGGAGGAGGAGGAGGAGGAGGAGGAGGAGGAGGAGGAGGAGGAGGAGGAGGAGGAGGAGGGGGAGGAGGAGGGGAGGAGGAGGAGGAGGAGGAGGAGGAGGAGGAGGAGGAGGAGGAGGAGGAAGAAGACGACGACAATAAGGAGGAGGCGGAGGAGGAGGAGGAGGAGGAGGAGGAGGAAGAGGCAAATGGCCTTTTGGGGCCCTCGTGGGACGTTAGTGGGGCCGTCTTGGGGCCCCCATCGGTGCCCTCTTGGAATTATCTTGGGGCCCTCTTGGGGGCCTTGGAAGGCTTTTTGGAGAAATCTTATAGGCCATCCATGAAAAGGAAGGGAGTCCTCTGTCTAACCCTCTTTTTGGGGCGCTCAAAATTGCATCCTCTTGGTGCGTTTTTGGGTAGGCCCCTCGCGGGGCCCTTTTGGGGCCTTCTTGGGGCGCCTCCTGGGAACCCTGGAGGGCGTATTGAGGCAGTCTTGGCGGCTATCAACAAAGGAGGCGCGGTCCAACATATGCCCCCTTCCCTGGGGGCGCACTCTTGGGGCCGTTGGGGGGGGCCTCGTGGTTTGGCGAGAAGGCAAAACTCATTGAGCCCCCATTCCATGTTTGAAGGATGCTGACCTCTTGAGGGGATCCCGAAGGGGGGGGTCCCCGAGAGCACATGGAACCGTTTTGTGGCCCCCGTCGGGCCTAATGCAGATATGTCGGAAGCTAGCTTGAACCATCTTCGGTTATCTTGAACCGCCCTGGCGGCCATCTGGGAGCGTCGGAGGTCCTATCGGAGAATCTTGGCGAAGAAGGACGCTCTCACACGTCCTCCCCGACGGAAAATACGGCTTTCAAAGCGGAAAGAAAGGTCTCGTCATACCACCTACGCCCAAACGGCTGGTGGGATTATCCGGGCACCAGACAGTGCGTTCTGAAATCGACTTGCCCTTGCTGCCACGCCGACGCCACTGCACTACCACATCTGAAGGAAGCGGCCCCCCGTCGCGAGGCGCAGCGGCCATGACGCGGCCCGAGAAGGTACATAGCAAGTTGTAGGATGCGCCTGCGCGTGGTGCAATACTTTGACAGCCATGCATAGATCTTGAAAAACATCGGGTTGAGCATTTGCACATGTAGTTTACATATATTGAATAAGCACAGTGTGTATACAAACGTAGTGCACGCATGGTTACATGGATTTCAGACGGCTTGAATTAACCAGCCTGGCGACAGGCAAGGCACGCAAGCAAAATGATAGAGGCAGAAGACCGCGCCCAGATCACTCTCAAAGCATTGGTCCATGGTGTATTGCGCGATCACAGGTCAAGGATCGTCCTCCCGTTCTTGTTGTCCCTCATCCCCACCCCATTACGCAGCCGTTCCGGCTAAAGTTTTATCCGGTTGGTGAGCTTGAGCTGGCCGTTGGCGAACACTGGGGGCTGCGCGTGGATGGAATTTGGCCTCCTACCGCGCTTGCGCCACTCGCGTCCGCGCATTGGCGCGCCCCTCCTCGTGATGGCGGTGCTCGCGCCGGCCCTCCGTTGCCCGCCGCCGGCCGCCACGGCCGCCCTGCGTTGGGCCGTTCGCAGTGGAGCGGCGCCGCCGCCGAGCCCGTTCGAAAAAATCCGGCGATCGAGCGGGCAGGCCCGTTGCTCTGACGGGTGGGGAGCGCCCGACGCGGGGCGCGCAGGCGCAGCGCTTGATGCAGCCTTGGAGGCTTCTGGCAGGTACGAGGCACTCCCAAGCGAGTTCGAGCCCTTGGGCCCCAGAGGCTGCGCATTGCTCGAGCACGAGTTGTCGCTGGAGCTCTTGGTCGGCTACGAGGCTAGGTACCCGCATTTCCGCAAGTAAACGTGCGATCTGTTGTAATCGCAAGACAGACTTGGATGATAGAGCCCAGCTTTCCCGAATGAGTCATGTGCAAGCGTTGGGCCCCACCATCGTTGTGAGGTGAGGATGAATACCCCAACACCCGCGCCCAGCAGTTCAGTTCCTCTTTGTAGTTTTCATGAATTTGGTTGCCGCGTGATTTCGGAATATTTCTCTCGCCGCAACACCCGCCACGCAAGCACGCACGCACGCACGCACGCACGCACGCACGCACGCACGCACGCACACACACACACACACACACACTCACTCACACACACACACACACTTTTTGCGTCGTGGCGCGGCAGAGGCAACCCGCTCGCTCGATCCCTCCCTCTGCCTCTCCCGCACCCGTGCCCTCCCTCCCCTCCGCTGTTTCACCCCTTCATCCATTCCCTCCCCCTCGCTCCCCCCATCCCTCTCCCACAATGACAGATTATGAATACTCTCCTCCCTTCCCTGAGCGTGTCCGGAAGATAGGCGACCCTCTCCGCGTGTTGTTTTCATACACAGAAGTTCAATACTAGGTTTTCTTCATGCTTGATACCATCCGATTGTTGTCGGTGTTTCAAACTGGTGTCCTCGTTGCATCGTAGGCTTTCTTTTTGGATCGACGTTTTGCCCCCGTCGTTCAGCAACACGCTCTCGCCACAGCGCGGGGCCACTTCTCTGGATCCGAATCATATCATTATTCTTCGTTGTCGCTCCCTCAGTTCCCCTCCTCCGCCTTCCCCTGGTCCTGCCGCTCCTTCCTCTCCAGCTCCCGCTGCTGCTGGTCGTCCTCGTCCCCTTCTTTCCTCATCCTCCGTTTCCTCTTGCTCATCTTCTCGCTCATCCGCCACCTCCAATGTACACAGCTTCCAGTGTTCCAGGTCCGCTAAGATACGCGTCGGCGGATAGAAGCAACAGCGCAATGGGGGAAGGGATGGGTGGGAGGTACGGCGCGAGCGCACCTAGCTTGCCCCCTCTCACTTCGCCCACCCACTCCTCCCCCCCACACCCACCCCCCTCACCTCCCACACCCTCATCTGCTCAAGCAACTCCCTCCCTCCACCCTTCGTGTTTCCTTCCCTCCCAGCCATCCCTTCGTTATAGTATGGGGTTGTCCGCAGCTCCAGAACACGTGTTCCCGTCAATTCGGGAACGCATGTGCATGCCACGCAGTTTTCCTCAAGGAGGGCGAAGCTCTGCAGGTGTATCCGACTCCTGCCAGCGGCGTCATCGGTGCAAAGCACGTATGCACCTAAAGAAACTAGCCCTGGGCAAGCCGACCCAAGCTCTCACGAAAAGGCGCCGCCTTCAGGGACGCCACGGCGTGCGAGGAGGGAGACAGCAAGACAGCAGGGGGGGCGAAAGAGGGAACGCGGGCGGCAACGCACTGAGGGCATTGTACGCATGTGCGCCATGCCCTGGGCCACATCAAAAGACGGAGTAGACGCTCTGGGGCAGTGTGAGACGGGCGCGGCAATGAGCGTGGACCGTAGTAGACCCGTATGCAGGTGTGGCGCAGGCGGCACGTCACCAGCCAGAGACCAAGATGCAGGTGTGAGCCCAGCCAGTCAAGGTACTCAGTCAAGGGCCACAGATGTGGGAGAGGGAAGGGGGGGACACGACGGGACGGGCACGCTAGGCCGCGTAGGGCCCAGCCGACCAAGTAACGAAGTGGAGGAAGTTGCCAGGTGAGACGTGAAGGAGTGGGAGTCCAGCAATGGCAGCAGCGTAGAGCAGAAAGAGCCGCGACAGCGGCGGACCGAGGGCGCAAAGGCATGTGTGCACGAGTCCTAGGTGGATTCGGTGACGGAGGGAATTTTGAACAAAGCGTCTCAGACAAACGTGACCAGAGTTCTTTGTGTGAGGCGCGGGGCACACACAAACACTTTTCCTCCAGTGGCGAGGTGACGGCATCGTCGCGGAGCGCTAAGCTGGGGTACGCTTAGGCGTACTTCCATTTGACGTAGCAGCTGGGTGGATTGGATGGTGGCAGTCGCTCGAAGAAAATCGCCAGGGCGCGCGTGCATGTGGGAGATGCCAGATGCGGCCATGCAAGTACAGAAGTACTGGCCGAACCCCACTACGCTGACCCGTTCGCAAAGGTTGAAAAGGAGACAGCGTGCGGCGGGAGCGTGGAGGCATGGACGGGCACATTGGCAGCGGACGGCATGCAAACCCGGCTGGTGCTGCCCAACTGTAAGGACGCGCCGACAAGAACGAGAAAAGGTACGCCCAAGGCGGGCACACCAGAGGCCGGGGGAAGCGGCAGGCCACGACCAGGCCCCCCCAAGACGAATTGCGAGTCGTTGCCGCAAGGAGCGTGGCAGCGTGAGAGCCGCTTCGCTGCCCGCGACGCTGCGAGCAACGCCAAGACAGGAGCGATACGGAACAGAGACACGTGCATGTGTATATACACATATCTAATGAGAAATCGTGGGAAAGCGGACTGTTCTCGCCCGCGCAATGCGAGGCCAGTTTTTTTTTTAAATCACATGGGGAAATGAGATACACCAGCAGGCATGGCAACATATTGCCACTGAGTGACCTGCGAAGATTTATTTGGGTGGCAAACGCTCAAGAGCAATGACAACGCTAACACCCACACACACACACACTCACACACACACACACACACACACACACACACACACACACACACACACACGCACACACACGCACACGCACACGTTTCCGTCGGCGGCGAGGCAGACTGGCAGCATCAGCGATAGAGCTGAACGGGGGCACCGAGCAGCGAATTGCCCAGCACACAGGAGCAGGGAAAAGACGGACAGGGCGGCCGCGGAGGAGGAAGGAGGAGGGGGAACTCAGCACTCAGAGGCAGAAGACTTCCGACGTGAGCGCGCAGGCGCGGCCGGCCTCGTCAGCGGGGACCGTGGCAGCTGCCGGGCCGCACCGTCGGGGCACCCACGTGCGATGACGAGGCCCAGTTCAGTACGTCAAAGCACAGGGTACCGCAGTGACGCCGTGGGTGAAGTAGGCACTTGCACGTCAGGGAAAGCGCCTTGATGCCGCCCGTGTGGGTGGCTGGGCTGACAGGGTACAGCAAGTACTAGGCTGCAGATTGCTATCAGCAAAATGTTGGGCCCGTGAGGTGGGGTGCAGGGCGGCAAGACCAGGCCCAAGATCACCACGCGGGGGAAACTGCCAGCCGCGGTTGCAGCGTGGGCGACATTGGCGGCGCGCGGAGGGAGGGGGGGACGAGGCACAGGGCGGGGGAGAGGGAGGGCAAGGAGGAGGAACGCCCCTCCTGCAGGGAGGTCCCCGCAGACGGGGCGGCAGCCCGGGCGCCTGGCGCCAGCAGGAGCTGGAGGCGGGTGGTCCGCGCGCACACATACACACACCCACTCACTCACTCACACACACACACACACACACACACACACACACACTCACACGCACTCGCTCACTCTCTCACACACAAACACACTCTCTCTCACACACATTCACACAAGTGCCCACACACAAACACACATACGCACACACACACACACACACACGCACACACAAACACACAAACACACACAACAGACAAACGCAAACACAAGCACAAACACACGCACACACATACACACGCGTACACACATTATCTTTCTCTCTCTCTCTCTCGTTCTCTCTCTCTCTCTCTCTCTCTCTCTGTCTCTCTCTCTCTCTTTCTCTAGTTTTGTTTTTTCTCCTTCTGTCTCCCACTCTCTCTCTCTCTTTCTCTTTCTGAATCTCTCTCAGGCGCACATACGCACCCCCGCACACACATACACAAACGCGCGCACACACAAACACACGCAACAGACACACACACACACACACACACACACACACACTAGCACACACGCGCACACACCCTTTAAAAGCGCTCGATAACAAGATGCCCTCGTACACCTGCAACGGAGGGCTGTCTCAGGATAGGGTGGTGCAAGATTCTGACATGTCATATGAGTGGCATGCAGGCCGCACATTGCAAAACACATTGGCGCCCATACAGACCGAGAGTTCAATCATGAAACATGTGCCGCAAGCCATTGAACCCAAACAAAAATGGTGGCATGGATGCAATGACGAGGAAAGGCCGCGCTTATCCACTCAAGGCGAAACTTCGGTCTCAGTCAATGACTCGTCGTCTTGTAGCCCAAGGCGCGGTCGCAACAAATGCAAAACAGCGCATAGTGCGACTTGGATCGACGTCAAGTCGTCAGAAAGTAAGCATTGGCCGTGCAAGACTCGCGCACAGCCTCCGGCGGCGGCGATCGCAGTGACGAGGGGTGTTCCCAGGCGGCAGGAGCGTTTGAAGCAGGCGGCCGCAAGAAGGCCGCGAGCTTCTAGGTGAGAGGCGGCCCGAGCAGGGAAGCGCACATACACGCAGTCACTGTTGCGAGGGAGGCGGGCGCCCCCCGCCCGCGCGGGGCAAATGTGGGGGCCAGCGGGCGTTGGAGGCGGGCGGCCCGTGCACGCGCGCACACGCGCACACGCGCGCACATTCGCACGCGCGCGCACGAACACAAGCGCACGCGAACACACATGCGCACACACACACACACACACACACACGAACCCACACACACACACACAACAGACAAACACCAACACAAACACATGCACACATGCGCACACACATTATCGTTCTCTTTCTCTCCTTCTTCCCGTCGCCTGCGGAAGAAGCGCGGCGGTCGGGTCCACGCAGGCGGAGGCCAGGAGGCCGAGGCGTCGAGTTCGGCATCGGCTTCAGGAGTGTCGCGGAGCAACTGGCTGGTGAGCTCATTGAGTTGATTAGTTCAATCTGGCGCCGCGGGGCGGCATTCATTGGGCAAGTTGGGCGCGGTGGTAGTATACGACGCGCCGCGTCGCTCCTGCTCTATTTATTGTACCTCGAGCGGCTGGGCGACGTCGAGGCGCTGCAGCAGCGGCTCGTGGCGCTGCTGAACGGGGCCCGCGGCCCGTTCGCCACG